AGATGTTCGCGATAAGGCCCGGTATTGCAGATCTGATTTTCAAATCTGAGTGTTGAATAGTCCATTTATCGAGAGATATATATCATCACGCTGCGACTAATACCGCAGCGGAACCGCAATTTAAAATTTTGCAAAAACGGAAATTGCGACGCAGACGAAGTTGCGCGCGTCAGCTAGTATAATATAAATAGCAATGAACTAGTGTTTCTTTTGTGAATTTATTATGGACTAGCTGTTCCCGCGACTTCGTCAACGTGGAATTTAACTATATTTTTCTAAAATAAGAGTAGCCTAAGTAAGTCCTTATTACATCAGCTACCTGTCTAAAAAAGTCCCGTCAAAATCGGTCCAGCCATTTCAGAGATTAGCCAGAACAAACAGACAGATATACAAAAGTTGTAAAAAATATTATTTTGGTGTATGTTACGGTATTTATATTCAAATGCATGTAGTAAAAAACGATTATTTCAATATTACAATCAGACACCAATTTTATTTATATGTATAGATATCGATTACAATTTGACTAGATTCAGTACAACATAGTGCTCTAGATAATATACCTATAGGTAATACGTGATATCCCATCGCATTGCGGACATAAACGATACCCGACCAATTGGACTGAAACGAATTGAATCGCCCTCGATATCACTTCCGTCCGATGCTTTTAATTTTATAATGACATGGATATGAATGTCCTAATCTGACTGGACATAACATCAGAATATATGAGAAAGCTCGATACAAACATACACGCTATATCATATAAGAAACCTTAACTTTAATTTTTTTTCTACTCTTTTTAGTAGTATACAGGCAACTATAATAATATACTTACTACAAACCTATATATAACTCTTAGAGATTCTTACCTTTCAAAAATTAATAATAATATCGTTATAAAAATCTATCATTTTCTTCACAATTAATACATACATATGAAGTTAGAGCCTTGTTAGGGACTCAAAAATAATTGTAGACGTTCTGATGACAGTAGATTTGATTTATTTTATGGTAAGTTTCTTTAAAAGACAATAGAGATTTAAAAGACAATTAGCGATATCTTTGTAAGTATTAATAGGCGACTTTAAATAAAAATACGTAATATTTTTCAAGTTCTCGTGTTCTAATAGTTTTAGACCGATACACATGGATTTGTGAAAATAACGTATAAAAAGATATGTATTCGTTATCCACGTAACAAGTAATATTTTATTCCTCCTGACCTAAAAGGCTTCCCGTAAACTTTAACAAGGCCAACGGTATCCAAAGCAAAGTTTATAAAACGAGAAACTGTCTGTTACTACGTTTATATTATTATGTAGTCAAGTTTTGGCATGAATTTTCTTTCGCCATGGCCTCGTTTTGAAACTTTATGCTGTGTGGAACCCAATAAACGTTTTTATGTTTACGGACAAGCAAACTCAGTTTTATAGCAGGGGCGGGCTATGTGGTTGACAAATTTTATCGATATCGAATTATGGATGTCCGTCGCGAGTCGATCGTTCGATTATTTCAATATAAATAAACACGCGGCATGTCTTGACTTGTCATTTTTTACTTTTGGAATACAAGGCTTTCTCCCAACCAGACTGAACACAGTATGATTTTTACCACCCACGTTCATGACATCATCGCAGCTGTTCAGTTGTCGATGTTTGATTTATTGAATTTGAAATCTGACCATTTAATAACTTGCCGATTAATGTCTGCCGTAAAATGCCGTGCGTTAATAGTATATTTCTGTAGTTCCAAAGCTGTAGTACTCCTCTGGGGACTCTTTTACTTGTCAATTAGCTGTGATGAGGAAGGCTAACACCGTTCAATTTATTAATTGACAACGTTAATTTTACACAATGTTGGAGAGCTCTTTACTTGTTAGTTATTGTGGTACGTGGATCATGAAGTTTATAGAGTGGATGATAGAAGTGAAGTCAGCAGAGAGAGTGATTTTAGATATTTGAATCGAATCTAAACTTTTGAACTAGTTGTCGTGACTGGAATTGACTTGTATTTGTTATACATGTAAGTCAAAACAATACCTGTAGCCTATAGTATAATAACATACAGTGCTGAATTGATTATAGGTTTGTAAGATCAGGATTTCCGCAATTACTTGTTCTCGCTATAGTTATCGTGGAGACAACGTATCTGTCTCTGACTTCAATCTATGATTATCTTAGTTGCATTTCGATGTGCTGTCGAATGACAAATCAGAAATTCTACCTATAAAATACTTATATAAAAGAATTTACTACTATATTTTTTTGTTATTTTCAAATTTAAGAAATGTAATATTGTGGAAGTAAGTAACCTTACATTGCTTTTATGGTTCGTGCAAAAAGTTTTAATGCACTTTAGTTAATTTCGTTCAACGTAGCAGCTTATCTTTTATGTGCGGTCGTCTGGTGGCCGGGTGGGCGCCGCGTCGTCTGTCTTACAAATAATACCACGGGATCGTGGTTATCATCACCCTGACACGCCTCCTGGTGGGCGGATCACCAAACTGTTATTAGTGTACACAAACTTTTATAGAGACCAAACTTCTTATCGTAGCAAGAAGAGTGTGCGTACCTCATGTTATATGTACATTTTGACTCTAAAACTTGTACTTTATGGAGTGTATTGTCAAATAAACGTTTTATCTATCCATTTTATTGTTTTTCACCACAACCTATTTTTATTATACCATGTTATTATTTTGTTGGCTGTCAGATTTTTAGTCCTCTATCGTCAGCCAAACTTCATGAATGGCTATCATTATACTATAAACATACGCTACATGATTAGGGTTACTTTCTATAAAAATCGATGTTGCTTAATCCCATTAACAAGTTCTGAAATTAAATTAGCTGTCAAATGAAAATGTAAAGTTTGTTCTATAAGTTGACCAGTATATAGTAGATATATATATATATATGTAAAGAGATAAGAAGCGTTATAATTATTAACGCTTGAAGGAATATTACCATCGTGAGCGGCAGTAATCGATACGATCCGGCCGAATGTTCAAATCACACGCCCACCAATCAAACAATGGGAATGCACTAGTCGTTACATGCAGTTAAATATTTCCGCAACCCATTTATACATCCCGCAAGTACGAAGTTTTACTGCTATTAATGCTATTTTGCATACCGCACAGTTATTAAGTTATATTTGACGCGAGAGAGCGGCGTAGGTTTCTGTTAGGTAACTGTTCATCGGTACGTAGTATTATTAGGTGTTCTGTGGTATAAATAAGCAACTGGGCTTATAGTGTTTATCCTATTCAAAACAATTCACGTGACGATAATTTTGGGTTATACGGGGTTATGCTATCAGTTTTAAAAGGGTCATATGTTATATCAGATCACATTTCGATGGAAATCTGCTAACATTAACATTGCATTCCTTAGGTAATAAGAGTAAATGAAATTAATGTAGAATCGATTTTTATGTCCTGTTAATTTTCAATTCTTATTCTTATTATAGAATTGATCATTGTGCCGTATAATTTCAGAGTACAAACCCATTATTTGCGTAGTTTACGTCTGATCAATATAACAACTTTGTGTATCAATTTAAACTTATATAGGTATGCAAACTATGGAGTGTATTGCAAAATGTGGATTTTAATGTTTCTTACTCGATCACATAGTAAATGTTTGAGTTTATTTAGATGTAGTTCAATAAATATTGTTTACTCAGATATTTTCCCATTAACCAAAAATATGTCATATTTCGACTTACCTTTTTGTGTTGTTGAATTTATCCTAATCGGCTCGATTATGCTACATGAGTCAGGATATAGATTATGTACATAATACACATTTGATATTACAGTATCTGGCGTTAGGTCATCATTATTGATAGCATCATATGTAACACATGGCTAATTATATCGATAAACCATACAGTCCATTCTCGAATTACTTGTATTGGGTCTCAATTTCGACAAAAACAAACATCTCATCACTGCAAGCCATCGAAACCCGATAGCATGTAACAAACAGAGCTTAAATTTCACATGTGGTAGTCTAGCGTATTAGACATGAAACGTCAAACGTCTGTTATATGAAAACACAACAGAACATTTACACTACATTACTTTATAAATAAATTATATGTAGGTATGCTCATAGTATGTTTGTACGTACTATATTATTATGTATATGTATACTCTTATATTTATATAATATTATTTAGTAAACTAATCATCTTCTAGTATATCTGCACTCCCTAAGGTTATGTGGTAGAGAATGCTATTCGCATTATGCGATATCATCTATACTATCCGCCTATCGATTCAAATTCAATAAAGTTTAAATAAATAAAAAAATAAATTTCATGATTTAAAAGAAGTGATAGTAGATTTCAAATAAACCATATTAGATTCCTGTAAAATTGTAGTGATAATTTTGCCAATGTTGCAAAACTGATGCGCTTTGCTTATCTTATAAAGCTATCCTGCAGTTTTATAAGATAAGCAAAGTACCGGACTATCCTCCCTAGAGGTACTGGACTTTAATACCCTATTACGGGTTGGTTGCGTCTGGAAGTAGGTATAGACATATAAATTAAATTGTTTATTATGCTCTATACTGATCTAGTCCATAAATCCTATTATTAGCATGTTATGGATCATAAATTCCAATCCAATCGAAATAAATAAATGTTTTTCTTGTCTAGAATTTTCTCTGAGGTTAGATGACTGTTTCTTAAAGCCTGACGTTGACGATGTCTACACATAGACGTCGTGCAAATAAATAATAGTACAGGTTTTACTGAGATATCGCAGTGAAATTACTGAGTTCCTCGGCATATTAATATTTTAGATCATCTTGTATGTTACTGCATTAGTTGTATCACATATATCGCAGTATATTCTATTCCGTATATGGCACTGTTCATGTATCCAGGTTATGGATACCAGTTTCCATGAAATCGGTTTAATTTAACAATTTACCCACAAACTACTTTTATGATGTCGCTAATTTAAAAAATGTATTTCTCAGGTGGACTGTCCATTCATCGTTTGCATGACATACGCATTCCACACACCCGACAAGCTTTGCTTTATTTTGGATCTCATGAATGGAGGCGACCTACACTACCATCTCTCTCAGCATGGCGTGTTCAACGAGGCTGAAATGAAGTTTTATGCTGCGGAAGTTATATTAGGTTCGTATACGCTCAAATATATGTAAATCTAACTAATCCTAAATAGCATTTCCTAATTGGCAATTGTCGACAAAGATTTCTTTTAAGGAACATCTACATAATATTGGATATATTTATGCCAAATGTTAGTTGGTGGCGAAATCTATGACGAAGTTCAACTACGGATAGCAACAGTCATTGTATACTTAATGTTTTATTTAATTAATAATTTAGCAAATTACACTCGCAAATAAATCCATTTGAAAGAAATAAGCTTAGCAGTAGCTTGCCAATTTTTGGCTTGAACATTGTTCCGAACTGATTGTAGATATGACTTAAGTGCATGTAATGAATAAATTAATTTAAAAAAACTAAATAGTCACTTACGATTGATATGAAACAGCTGATCTAGTATACTTGGATGGTTAGATGTAGAAGAAAAAAGTGTTAGTTGTTTTAAAATGGCTACGCCTCAATAGTAAATCAGCGTCATAGTATATTCAAGTCCGTTAAAAACTATTAAAATATCAACTTACTCTCAATCGGCGATGCCTGGTCCATAGAGTATTCCTTCCTCTTCCTCGTGAAACTTAGAATATCAAGATAATAACTGCTAAGTAGCTAGCAATTTCAACAACTTTGGGACCAGAAGATTCTGTTTCTATTTCGTAGATAATGGTTACTACTTTTCATCAGTTGGGCCGTCAGCTTGTTGGCAGAAGTATAAATATAAATAAATGATCAACCATATAATAGATCGCCATTCTTAACCTTGCTTAACTTCAATGACCGCAACTGCTCATTGCGTTGTTCAAAATTGACTTACATATTAGTTTAGTATTCCGATTGTATGATTCGCTTGACTGATATATATGTACGTGAGGTATTAATCTGGTTGATGACGCACCTGCTCTGATCTGATTAAGTATGTATAGATGACATTTACTTTCTGTTCACCATTAAGTATATATAAATAGTTTGGTTCAGTATAATAGTTTTTATGATAAATATATTTTTATTTGTATATTTATTTGTGGTATGCTATCAAAAATTATTCATTGATAACATACCTACTACATAAATTATTCTGATATATATTGATGATACCAATTATTCATTCAATTATAAATAGTTTGGTTCAGTATAATAGTTTTTATGATAAATATATTTTTATTTGTATATTTATTTGTGGTATGCTATCAAAAATTATTCATTGATAGCATACCTACTACATAAATTATTCGTTGATGATACCAATTATTCATTCAATTTATATATTCATGCTGAGTTTTTGGCATTTCTTTCAAATTTTCACTTGAACTACTTAAAAAGTTTTAAGTCCAATATATATTTTTTACATTGTATCTGATTCATATTACTGTATTTTGAGTGAGTGAAAGAATATTAATGACAATGCATTCATTAATCTATATAAAATTTCGTTTTCTCTTCGTTGTTAATTTTTATAGTATTTTTATAAATAAGCTAATTTTACCTAAATGCCGTCTGCACAAAATCAGTAATTCATTCATACATGGTAATTGCGTAAAATTTTATAATAAACTCCCAGAATCTGCATGAAATCTGACAGAGGCAATTCAAATCTTATATTAAACAATATTTATTTAAGAAAGCCTATTACAGGATAGACGAATTCATAAATGACAACATATCAAGTAAATAATTAGTTTATTAGCATACAACGTTATAATTTAATTTTCTCATTGCTTTCTTGATTTAATTATTTTAGAAATATGCAAGCGTAGCGGTTTTTGTATTGATTGCCGCATGCATTCTTATGTAAAATGTGAATACTGTAACTATCAGATGGCAATTGTAAGTGCTTTTGTTGCAGCTTTGACGTGGTCTAGTGTTTTGAGTAGTCATGCTCACTAAAATGTCCAGACTTGTGGCGGCGTGGTGGGCCGGGTCGTTGGGCTCCCTAAAATATGGTGGAGCGCAGTGATGGCGAACGGGTGCTGCTTGTAGGGACTGGTCTGCTCTAATCACTATGACTGATTTCCTCTTATAAATTGTTTAACCAGTTGGTTATATATTCAATATTTTTTCTATTTGAGTATTTAATTGAATTAGTGCTAATTGGTGGTTTGTATTCACTCACTAAAACTTAAAAATGTAATGTAATAATAAAATTATTTAAAAGAGCAACTCGCAAGTTTCTTGCTCGTTCTTCTTGTGATGAGACAGCTTTCCGAATGAGCGGTAGATTAAAAAAATGTAATGACTATTCAAAAGTGCTTCAATGTAAGTTTATTTGAATAAATGATTTTCTATTCTATTCTATTCTATAGTTCAATGTTATTATAATATTTTGTAAAATCATTGATTAATCCCTTTTATATTCTACTCTGCAGTATGATATCGTGTGTAAAGTAGATTATACAACACAATAGTACACGAACAAGCAATATAATGTGTACAATTAATTATGCTACGGATGACTCAATGCGCATAGATGTCACAAGTGCATGCACTTTGCATGTTAATCAGTCTTAGTTCTGTAGTGCCTAATTGACTGTCACAAATGTATAATCAGAAGTTCCTACATAAAACTTATGTTCGGAAATAATACATTTTGTGTAAAAAATGTAGTTCATGTAGTAATGTATTCAGTATAGTATAGTATAGACAATTTCTAAAAACGGCATTTAGTCCAGACGCTATTTTATTGTGGCAGAGGTTTGCTATCAATGAAAAGCTTTTTTATGCTAGAAAATAAATACTAATAGAAATTATTGGATAAGAGGCATGACAACTTAGTACTATGGAATAGCAACGCGACGCGTAAATTGTGTCACGGGAGTGACATGATAACGTGATATCAGTAGTGCTGTTTATGTACATAGGCAATAGTTATCGCTTACCATCAGGCGGTCCGCAAGCTTGTTTGCAATTCCAATTACATAAAAAAAGAAACTAAATATTTAGTTTCTTTTAAAATGAATACAACTTGTGATTAAGAATAGCAATGCCTATTATATTATATTGCTATTATTATTATATTATAGCCGATTAACTTTATACGCAAAATATTGCGTATAAAGTTATTGGCATACATCTACTTAAAAAATTATAATTTTAAATTAAGTTTGGATGTTCAACATATAAATAATTAAATAATCTGTACGTTATATGTTTTTATATTGTTTCAGGTTTGGAACACATGCACAAACGTCATATAGTTTATAGAGATTTGAAACCAGCGAATATTTTGCTCGATGAGCACGGTCACGTTCGAATATCGGATCTCGGGCTCGCCTGCGACTTCTCAAAGAAGAAACCGCATGCAAGCGTGTAAGTAAATTACTACAAGCTCTTATAACGTAACTTGCAAACTAGCAAAAGTATGAAGTGTGTAAAGTACTAGCTGTGCCCGCGACTTCGTTTGCGCGGCGCACGCAACGGTAGCCCTCAAATATGAATAATATTCCCCGTTTTTGCAACAATTCTCACTGACGCTTCGCTTCTATTGGTCGTAGCGTAATGTTATATTATCGTAAAGCCTTCCTCGACAAATGGACTATCCAACACAAAGAATTTTTCAATTCGAACTAGCAATTACTGAGATTAGCGCGTTTAAACAAACAAACTCTTCAGCTATATAATATCAGTATAGATTAGGCGTTTGATCATGAATATTACATACTGCACAAATTAATGTAAAGTTTTTATATTCGTATTAGTTTGGATTCCCACAATATTTTGTTAAAAATTTAAAATTATGTAGTACAATATTTGTTAAAAGAGCAACGACACATTTTTGCGCATTCGACTTGGTTGGAATCTACATTAGTGTAAAAAACTAAATACGTTATTCATAAGTTCCTAAAATAAAGTTTATTTGAATAAAGATTGATTATACTTTAGTATGTGGGTTCGGAAAACAAAAGGTAAAACGGAACAGTTTTATATTGTGACTTTTTCTATCGTTTGTCACAGAGACATATTACATTACTCATACCCAACTATTCACAAATATTGAATAGTATTGTTGGCACAATATTATTAGAAATATTTATAAGCTTTGTTGATGTGATGTGAAATTTTTACAGCTGCATATTAACTCTATATAGAACTAGGAAGTATTTTGTTTGATATTTATGTTTATTTAGCACAGTTACAATAGTATATATAAAAAATATAATATGAAAAATAACCTGTTTTAAACTTTAATCGGAATTCTAGCTGCGATACAGATTCACAACTTATTTTGATTAAATTTTGTTGTTTACTATTTTATTACTTTAAATATAGGTCAAGAGTTTCCTTATTATAATTTTCGGAAATCAGTACTTTATTGTAATTTAGTCTATACTTGGTTCAAGTATAATGACTTAAATGAGAATGATTAATCGATTAATGCACTTAATTATAATAATCATTTTTATTATATTACTGATTATTTAATAATAATTCATTATAACATCTTTTTTACAGTGGCACTCATGGTTACATGGCGCCGGAGGTTCTCTCCAAGGGCACCGGCTACGACTCCTCCGCGGACTGGTTCAGTTTCGGCTGCATGCTGTACAAACTGTTGAAGGGTCACTCGCCGTTCCGCCAACACAAAACCAAGGACAAACACGAGATCGATCGGATGACACTAACTATGGTAAATATAGAATTGTTACATACATTTGTATTATTTTTTTCAACTGCTTGAATAGTGTAAAAATCGTCTTTTCCTTGAGCACCAAGGTTCGATTCCTGGATTGCTAAAATAGATTTTTGTTATTTTGCCTAAAACGAAAGTTAGGTATAAACCTATGTGTGATTGTATATTGAAAAATATATTAGCGTTTCATCTGTTTTTTATGACTAAGTTAGTTACTATAAATACGTTTGTTATAGATATTTAATTTGTAAATATGTTTAGTTTGTAAATATATTTGCATGTTTAAAAATATAAATTTATTGTTGAACCACTTGAATTCAGTTTTATTTTATGACAGTTAGTAATATTACAAACAAATCATATTTTTATGTATTTATTTGAAACAATAGGTGATACGGTATCTTATTGGCATATCGATTTTTAACACATCGCCTGTGGTTGCATGTCGCAGGTTCGATTCTTGCACAATATAAAAGTGATTCACTAATATATCTATTTCTGTTGGTCTGTATGTTTTTATGTATTATATAAATAATATTTAAGTATATTTATCGGTTGTTTTGTATCATACTATTATTGACAGCTGTATTGTATTTATCGAACAAGTTCTCTTATTTTGGGGCTTGATGGTACTCTGTGATGTCTTGGGCTATTTTTTTTCTTTACTTTTAAAAGGCGAAATGCATGTATTGTGAATGATAAGCTTTTATAAAGATGGAGTAATGTCTGCAATAGAATTACAATGTGTACCAGAACGTGGAACTGCCGGAGTCATTCAGTCCCAGCTTGAAGAGTTTGCTTGAGGGTCTGCTACAGAGAGACATCAACAAGCGTTTGGGATGCAAGGGGCGGGGGTAAGTGCAGTATTTGCTTTTACTACCACCTAGTTTAATATATATATACATAAATATATTAAAGATGAATAATGATTTTTTTGTGCATTTGTATTGAAATGAATCATTAAACTTATATTAATTCGCATATTATTTCGCTTACAGTTAAATTATTTTGTAATATATTCTCTAAAATCCATATCCATATTATATAGTATTTACTATTTTTACTTCATTAACGCTGATACGGATTTTATCCTATTGTATTTATCTATGTGCCTACATAATCTTTTTTAGTAAAAAGGCAATAAGTGAATAGGGAAATAAAGCAAAACCTATGCTAACAATATACTACCATTCGTAGATATTTTGAAGATTATGAATGTTTTTATAATTTGTATTCTGCATGAACGTGCATTGTAGGGCTGATGAAGTGAAGGAGCATGTGTTCTTCGCGGGAATAGACTGGCAACAAGTTTATCACCAGAAATATACGCCGCCGTTGATACCACCTCGTGGTGAGGTGAACGCAGCTGATGCTTTCGACATTGGGAGCTTTGATGAGGAAGACACTAAGGGTATCAAGGTAATTTTTTCAAAATAATTGTAATTTTATTAATTTTTAATTTAAATTGCGGCTTTGAGACTCGGACAAGCTGTATATAATATTCATATTAATGTTTTTGAACATCAATGATTAATTTTATACTATGAACCCAATTTGTATTTTATCAGCCTCATGCAGCCAAATATTTGTTAATTATAATTTATTATCACATAATCAACTACACTAAGATAAGAATCTACCAAAGGGAACAATATTGGTTAATTCCTGGTGAATGATAAGTCCACTAATAACCTCACTTCATTCTTATTCTATTATTCTGTTATGATGCCTCGTCATTTAAATTCATAAAGATTATTGTGTACCCATATTACTATTATTATTATGTTACAGTTAACTGAATCAGATCAGATGCAGTACAAAGACTTTCCACTGGTGATATCCGAACGCTGGCAGTCGGAGGTGGCAGAGACTGTATTCGACACCATCAATCAGGAGGCCGACAAAATGGAACAGAAGAAAAAAGCCAAGCAGAAGCAGAAGTTCGACGCAGATGAGAAAGGTATCACTATATTATTTATTATTGGGAATAAAAGGTATTTTAAAGAAAGATAACCATGGTGTCAAATACAACAATTATATTATAGGAATTAGGAAAGGTAAGATTTTTAAGAGATTTCATTTAGTTGTCTATATACATGCTGTTCATGTATATAGACAACTGAACTCGGACGCCACAGTTGTGACTCTGTGGTACCACTAATGCACAGCAATTCTAAAGGATTAAGGTGTCTGATCTCATATCCTGTGGTCTCAGTGCCATTTATTACCCTTTGTTAAAACAAAAGTAGAGACGCTAACATGGTAGGTCTGAGAAAAATGATGACAATGAGAATATGAAATTAGAAAATAATAATTTAAAATTTTTTCCATTACAGAATCGGATTGCATTTTGCACGGTTACATAAAGAAGCTTGGAGGGCCATTCGCGAGCGCGTGGCAGACGCGTTATGCGAAGTTATACCCGAACCGACTTGAACTCCACCTAGAGAATAGCGCCAAGCCTGAGATGATCCTTTTGGATACCGTCGAAGAAGTCTCTTCCGACTTCGTCTCCATTAAAAGCGAGCAATGTATAGTGCTAAAGACGAGGAACGACACCAAAGTCGTGCTTACAAATACGGTAATAAATATATTCTAATAGTAAATTAATAATTTAAATAATATTTTTAGCACTGGATTAGTCAAAGCAACAGAAGAGCCTAATACTATATTGAAACTTAAAGTAATTACAAGTACTTCCACTATTTTTTTTCATTTTTCTGATATATAATTATAATAATGTGTTTCTTCCTGTCTTCATACCGTAACAGAGCTAAATGAAGAAAGTATTTGTAAATGTACCCTGCGCCTAAAGTGAGGTAGTGTGTTTAACAGTTATTTCAATGAAGTCTTTGTGAACTAAAAACTTTTTATGCTTTTTTTTTCAGGATGAAATTGGACTAAAGGAGTGGGCAATATCACTGAGGTCAGCGCACAAGTGCTCGCAAGAGCTGCTCGCATCAATGGCGAAGAAGGCGGGCAAGATCTATGGCACGGATGGCGCTAAGGAATCACTGGCGCTAGGGCGACCGCCACCACCAGCCGCCTCGCCGGCGTTAGCGCGGGCGCCCAACGGGAACAACTAGCACGAGCTCCCCGCGCCCAATAAGGGCGCGAAGATGTTCCGCCGCTCCAAGAGTGCTGCGCAACTCATCAAGTGAGTTGCTGAGCCTCCGCTTCGCCCCGCTCGGCGTGGACATGGACTAGTTATTTGTCGCGTGTGTTATACGCAAGCGCACGCGCGTTTGCGTGCACGTGTACGTATCGCGGTCTACCTTAGCGCCGCTAAAGACTATAGTGACTCTTAGGACTGCCAATTATTACTAAATGAATGCTGTTCGCATTTTATTGTTGTACGAATTAATGTGATAGGACCGATCAAATTTAATGAAAATGTATAAATATATTTCGTTGACCTACAGTGATTTCTCGAATGTGGATAATAATAAAACTTTTGTAATCATTTGCACCGATTGGATTTTGTAATTATTAATGTAACGTTCTAGATGTTGTATTTAACTTTGTAGTAGATATTGTAAAAATTTAATAACTTATAAATCGAGTAGATAAGTATAGTGATTATATGTGTTTGTGCAATAGATCAAAAAAATATGATAAAATAAAAAAATGTTGCTATTGCTCTCGAAACGGTTCAAATACTTAAAACATCGTGACGATTTTGACAAAAATTGAATTGTTCGTTGTGCGTATATTTATAGAAGCTTCGACTTAATCGATTTAAATCGTAATTAGAAATCCTAGCACTTTGGTTACACGTCTGACTATTGCACGTAATACTATTATTATATTATCGACATTGTGTTGTCTCCGGTTGCTCCCTTGACAATTATATTACAATGTACAGTAAAAATAGTTCCTTAACTGAATTTATGGAACAAATGACTACATAATATTAGTAAAAAGTACTTAAATGTTTAGTTACTCTGTTTTTATGTTCCGAACTAGCTATTTGCAATAAATAATAATATTTATACTATATTATTTTATATGTATAAAAGATAGGAAACAGTATAAGTAGATCTAATAAAAAAAAATCTCTTTGGTATTATAATATTTAGAGGCAATACTTTTCTAACAACATTTAGGTGTGGTGATTAATATAACAATAGTTGTAAAGGCAATATTTAGAAAATTTTGAAGCATGTTCAATGTCCATATATTTATGTGGGGTTTTATTTTTTATATTCCAATAGAGGTTTATTGTGTCGGGTAGTCGTATTTTACGTCACAGTAATACATTTAACATTCGTTACGTTGCAGTTATGTATATTTAAACTTATACACTATAGTCTTGATTCTTCCAAATCTCAATTCCGTGCGGTATGTGTAAATTGTATAAAGGCAAGTAGATATGGTAATGATTATTTGTGTGTACGTGGAGTTAATGTGTGTTTAAGAATGTATGTAATAATATAGTTAGTGTCAGAGGTCTAACTATGGAATAATTCTATTAACAATTCTCATCTGTAACAGACTAAAAAAGTGCTATTTTGTATGATCCATTTGAGAGTAGCAGATACGAGCCAGATTTTACATTTTGCAATTGCAACTGTTAAATGGTTCATACATAACTGCAAAATTGTATATTTTAATCATTTACAAATGAGAATTGCTAATGGAATTGATACATAGTTATACTGAAATTATCGTTTAGACCTAGAACGAATGGGGTTTAGATGTCATGTGTGCTCTTTATATTGAGATACATGTTATTTTTTTCCTTTTCAAAACTAATTATTATGATTAACTTAAATGTTATCGGTTTATATCAATATTTAATGATATATCAATTTCTTACTTGACTTCATTTTATTTAGTAAATAATTGTGCCATGTTTTTTGGCAATGTAATGTATCATTTTATTTACCATTATTTCGTAAAATACATGCTACAATTATTTACTAACAAGTGAGCAAAAAGAATACGTCGTTAAGTGTACCGATATGCAGAATTGAGAAGTGGAAATTCTATGCTTGTGGACACAATGTGATAGTGCGAAACCTAAATTGTCCAGAATTGTGAAGTGGAAGAATACAGATCGACCCATAGTGGCCTCGGCAGAATGACATTTTGTATGTTGTGTATGTTTTATATGTGAAACAATGCAATCTACTTTCGATTGCTATAATTGTTTGAGTCTGATGCAGATTTAGTTTTTATATTTTCTCTGTAAATGTTCCATGTGTTGCCATAATATTAGATTGACTTTATAATAACACATTGAATTTATTGTTTGTTTTTAGCGCACGACACAACGCGCGGCGCTACTGCTGACCATTTTATTACTAAGCAATAATGTAAACTCATAACATGACAGGGTGGAATTGTATCGCGGACATGAACATTATTATTATATCGTTTCTGTAATATACTTTAAATTAATCATTAGATTACTTTAAAGAAATTTAAATGTAGATTAGTTCGCAATAGATATTAGAAGTGTATATATTATAATAATGGAATTGGATAATATAATGTCGCCATTAGTATGACATGTAATGTATAGATAATGCCTAATTTAGTAATCAAATGGCGTTATGTTGAATTATGGGGAATTACGAATTTAAGTTATATTAATTTGTTATATTATAATAAATTCTAATATTTATTTTCAGATACATAGGTATTGGAGTATATGAATATCAAAATGATTAGTGTTGGTATACTATCATAATTCTAACTAGATGCTAGTCAGTTTATTACACTGCATTGAAGTCATTGTTTTTTTTATGAAATTATTAAAAATGTAATGTATGAGCAGTATTATAGGTTAATTGTTTGTTTTTCAATGAAATCATTCTATTAATTGTGATATATCTTGTAAAGAATTTGGTAGTCGCACCCGATGCGGTAGTGTGTTTCTCTGTAATGGTGATAAACTTTGCTTGTGTACTTAGTATTGATTTGTCATCACAAATCATTATTTATTCCTGTATTTGAATAATATATTACAAGGTGTATACACATAGTTAATATTGGTAGTAATAATCCGGGTGTGGCCTAGATAAATGAAATGTGTAGTCACCCTCACTACATACAGAACAATGCAAGCATATCATAGCTTTGTGAATTATTTTGTACACAAATTTGAAGGCCAAAGTTGTAGAAAATGTTCAACATTCCGGTATGCCAAATTAGCTTACTATAGAAAATAATTGTAACGCATTTAAGAAGATTTTATTTATTTATTTTAATGAATTTCCACAAATTAAGCACAGTAATTGTATAATGAGGTTTGTTCTAAGATAGAATGGCTTGATAATAGGCTCTACGTGCACCTGACTAGATCTGCATCGGACATTGTGTTACATACCTCCGTTAGTGAATATTTTTATTGTGAACCTACATTACGTGTAGTAAATTGTTTATTTAATCAATTTGTTGTTTCATTGAAATATTTGATAAAATGGAGATAAAGTTATAAATGCATACATTCTAATGATATTAATAAGATGGGCAACGATGACTATTGATTACTATGCTATGAGTTAGTATTGTAGGCCATTTTTTTTTCAAGTCTACGAAATTTTAATGACTACCTTAGGTTCGACTTGGTAACAATAACATATTTTTAATCAAGAATTTAGAGGATAACCTCATAAAATGTCCAAAATACGTTTACTCTGGGTAATAATGGTGGAAACACCACATAAAATAATTGTGGTCATCACATTTACCACACAGTGTTTCTCTTTTGGGGCAACATTATTATAATCAAATGCTGTGATAAACGGTAATAATATACTTAACTAATAGAACTATGTATATTATTTTCTGTAATAACTAACTCTCTAATGATAGCAACACTTGTAACGAAACAAAAAATATTCCAAGAGACTGTATTTGAGACAGGCTCTACCATATTGCGTTTAAATTTACCCAGCTGATATATCTATAGGCCCGGTGTAAAATAAAAATACTTTCTATTAAAATAAACAAGTTCAGTGATTTTGAATAGACACACTTCAATTTACTGCGTGTTGCGTTTATCACGAAGTCAACTGCTTAAATGCCTCTGTCTAACCTATCGGGAACACCAGTGATGAACGTATATATTGTTAACTATAAAAACCACAATAAATAAGTCCCTGAGATATGATCTATGGAGTGTGGTAGAGTTCTAATTATGAGAGTACTTGAATACTCTTATATATTTCTTTTTCAGTTATGTTCACCAAATGAGTTTAGTTTATACTTGGACCTACCTTTTATATTTGCATTTTAACTTGACATCCACTATGTACATTATACATATATAGTGAACCCATCACCAGACTATGGCATTGAGACTTGTCGGATTAGCTTTTGAAGTTAATATAGCTGACAAGAGTAAAGTCTTCCAAAGGCTTCCAAATACAAAACTCTGCATCAGTGATAGTCATAAGGTGGCCTTGGAACCGAATGCTACTGATATAATTGCGTATTCTCATTTCTTTATTGGATTACATAAAGTGTCAATTCTTTATTAGAACATAATTTATTTCCGATTGGATTGTCATATCTTTATTATTGGTGATGATTCCTGTTACACACAAAATATCTGAATAATGTAGATTCTGTAGATCTTGAATAATGAGTATTAATTTCAAATGGTGAAGGAATTTTACTGAGTACCTTATAGCGTGCTGTTTTTTTTATTTAGTGTCGTTTTACTTAACTTCTAGGCCCATATTATAGATAGAGAATTTTTAATGACCATATCTATGGACCCTTTGGAGGGTTAGGAAATTGGAGAATTGTTACCGAAAAAGAAATAAAATAAGCTTGCTTGTATACTCTTGGATATCTGTTGTAATCGTTAAAATATTCTCCTCAGGTACTAACTATACATCTGTCTATCTAGCTATAGATATGCTTTTCATAAAGGGCCCAAAACAGCGTATACGGCATGAGATGATTTTTGTATATGAATGAAATAAAATGTATAGGGAAGCTTGTTATAAAATTTAATTGGCTCCATGAAAAGGTTGCACCTGTGCCACCACTTGCCTAGCATATAGGCAATAATTTCTTGCATGGACTGTTTAGTGCGGACCTACGCTGCAACACGTGATATTATCCGCTACTTTGTGGGTGTGGCTCCACGTCCATTTGGAGTCTGAATATAGCCAACTTTACAACCCAGTAGGCTCGGTAAATTCAATCAGGACATTTACAATATGCTTTTCACAAATATTACTATAATTTATTCATATTACTGTGCCGTTGCTCGGCACGGTAATTTTACCTATACACCCAGGTAGATTACATAGATAGTTGCTTGTGTGGATCCTTAATCACCTATTTTAGCCGCCAAGTAATTTGCTTATTACAATTAGATTTGTAATTCGGATGGATGAAATATTTGAGAAATGCCAACTAAGTAAACAAATGTATTTCACATTAGTTTGTTCTTATTATCGTATTGATTTATTGGATACGATTATTTAAACACCTTGTTGTATGATTGCTCCGGATTGTGGGCCAAGCCACTGCCTGCAGTCTGCAATAACGCTACTCATATCACAAAATATAATTTGGTATTCTCCTTCTACCGAGGTACGTATGTATGTGTTACACACACATACATGTGGCTGTCTATGATTGCCGTCTCTCTCTTTTTAAACTGGCAGGACACCAGGGGAGGATGATAAGATCAGTATGAGATTCAAATCAGTTAGCCCATAGTGACAAATTCACCATCACGATGGTTTCCAGGGAGAATCGCGTGGAGGTCAACCTGACATGGTATATTTCTAGCATTGGGGACATGGGTCCACTTTACCAATAATCCCCTCTCCCTCCAATACTTGGTAACGAACACCGTTTAGCTAAGCAGTAAAAAACAACTAAGTAAAAATAAACTTACATCACGTTTCAGATAAAATTAGCATGGGACATCGGTTTCTCAATAATGCGATTACTCTGTCTAATCTACTTGACTCCGTGTTTTGTCATCTCAGACATCGGTACAGTGCTGAAATACTATAACTCTATATTTTGGATGTATCATTTTGTTTATCGCTTATTGTGGTAGCTGTCATCTTAAATAAGAATAATGAAGTATTACGACTACAAAATTATATGACATTATTTATTATTGAATTTTTACTTAACAACTTGTATTTTATTAATATAATTATAAAAGGCTAAAAATATATCCTTGATAGGTTAACTCTCTTGAATTCATGTGTCTCGCCAGCGAATATCCTTAGGGAAGACCGATGTACCGTTTCATTAGTCTATTGAGAAAAACTCCTAGGAGAGTTCAGCTTCGAGTTTTCCTATGCTTGCACTAATGCTGTGCTTAGCTTAATTATCAATTAAAAAACAGTAACACCAAATCAAAATCGATACCAATTATAATTAATACTACATTTTAGTGGCAAATTAACTCATATATTTTTACGACAGTGAAGTGAATGGTCTGTCTGTTACATAGTAAAATACGTAACATACATAAAAATACGTCATAGAACATACATAGTTTATTGCACTTAATTAAATAACAAAATAGGCATATTTAACACGGATATATGTATATACGATAAGCCTCTACATGAAGCACAAACTATTTATTGATGTACATTTATCAATCACAGTTCTCACCAAAACTAATGGAAGACTAGTTAGTTGCTTGGTCAAGTATCAACCTAAATATCAGACAATAGAATATATATATGTATATATAACAAGTGTAATTAAACTATTTAATAATAGTCAACTTCTAATGACTAATTACGACGTAATCAAAACCCGATAATTATCAAGCATAGATTATTAAATGTTCGTTAACAAATATGATACAACTATTACAATGTTCAAATACATTAATACTACGTAATGTATTTGAACATTATACATATACTATGTACTAATATATTAAAATAAAAAAAATAAAAGAATTTTTGGAGAATTACAAAATCAAATGTAAATAGAATCACATCAATACATGTGGAAATACTATTCAAGGCCCTATTTGATTAAACTTATCATTTATTTCAAAATACGAGTATAGTTTGTTATAATTATTCTAAATTAATCAACCTGTCTCTACATGGAAGGTTTTATTTATTTTTCGTGTTTGAACTTTAATTTCAATAATCATATACTAGTTCTGTTACAGCCTGCATGCTTCGTTATCTATGTACTTTCATACCATTAATGTATAAACACGTTTATCTTATTTGTGTAGTAGACTAATAACTTTGTAAATACGAACTATTTGTAAATTAATATTACTATCATAAAATATATTTTGTTACATATGATCTTTGATTAAGTGTGGTAAATATACAAGTAAATTTTATTATTAAATTATATACACATAAAATTAGTAGCAAATAAAACGCTATTAGCTAATTTTCTTAGTACGGTTTAAATTCGATTTTTCTAAATGATTTTTAATTCTAATAGGTCTATTCCGTTTCGTTTGTACAAGCACTAATTTTCTATTTATGATACTGAGTTTTAACAGTATATAAAATTTGTAACAATATTATTAGACACCCATTAGAATGGGTTGCTGTGAATTATTTTTTTACATATTGACTAAGCCCAACCTTGGCACGGTAGTCAATTTATATAAAAAGATATAAATAGAACCCTAATTCCTTAAAAAACCCAAGATTGTTAATTAGGAATTATATAATCTATAATTATGTATTGGACTTATTTTTAAATACATTTATTGTCAATTTTGCTTCTTGATTGATGTAGCATAATAATTGGGTACATATAACAAATGATTCTGAGCATTATTGTCTTTTCAATATTGTCTTTCATTTAATTTATATATAAATCAATTTCTCTTAATTTCAACTGCATTTATATTTACTGTGGGGTTTTCAATTGAATTTTTATTCTGCACAAGTCTCAATTCAATTAGTGCTGGTGGAATTTTTCCAGTTGGGTGTATAGCCCTTGCTTTATCGTATGTATTTTGTACAATGCTTTGTAGTGTAGCTATAGTCTTTTCAAGTGTTTCTTTAACGTTATTTTTAGTTTTGTGCGACCAAGCAAGAAAGAGTGCTGCGAACAGATCCCCTGTACCCGTAAATGTGGCATCTACCTTTGGTATTTCTATTTTATAGCAGGTATCTGTAGACAAAGACAAAGCTGTAATGTTAATGATGTGGTGATAACAAGACGTTAAAATGTTTATCGTAGGTATCAAGTAAGTAGATAAAATCCAGATCAAATAGATAAAATTCATTTATTTTTATGAAACCAGACATTTTATATTAACATTATAATGTCTGGATTTGTGTTTTTAAACAAACATTGGACACCTTTTTATTTATAATTAAAATAAAACAGTAAACAGGAAAATTTATATATGTGAACACTTATGGTAGAACCTTGTCACATTACCTATTCATTTTAATAAACTAGAAAATATATATAATTCCAATATTTTAATTAATACAAAATAGTAAACTGTTTTAAGTGTTATCATATGACATCTGAGAATTATTACCTTTAGTGCTTGCAATGCCAATCATACTAGTATCATTTCCTAAATCAGTACTTGACAGTACTACAGTATTGACTCCTTTCTGATGAAGTAGATCTATGACCTTCAGAGCGTCATCCAGATTTTTTACTTTCACTCCTGTAATTAGCTCAGCTTCGAACTGGTTTGGTGTGAGGATATCAGCAAGTGGGACAACCACATCTCGGTATACTGGCAATATATCTTCAGGGACATACATTTTCCCATTATCTCCCATAACTGGGTCACATACTGTAAATAATTAATCCTTATAAATGGTCATATCTCATTAAGGATATTTTACACATACAGCAATGCAGGTAGGAACGTTTATACTCAAAACTGTCAGACAAGTGTTGGTCTTAAACCCTCCAAATTTTTTTTGTGCATTCTGTAAAAAACGGTAAAGGCCATCCTCTTTTATCCCCATTTTAATTTCTAATACTGTTGTATTAGAATAGTTAGAATAGAAAAGACAGAAAAGTGTAGGCATCCATTTCTACAATGAAGAATTTGTAGTATATATTCTTACAATATATTGGCTCATCATGATCAGATAGATAGGTTGTGTATTATCTAATTGAGCAGTCAGAAAAGTTTAAGAAATTTAGGTAGGGTATTTAATACCAATGTGACAAAAGTGTAAGTCTTTGTAAGCTGTTTGGTTGGAAGGTGAGATAGGGCTAGTAATCCAAAATAACAATGAGGGGTACAAAATGACAATGTAATAGAGATCACATAATGATGTTATGGGTGTGGTGCTATTCATGTGATGGATGCCATCGTTATACATTATCGTCAGATGGGTAGGCAGATTGCTTGCTATTCCAGTTACATAAAAAAAATTAGACCAATAGAATATAAGTTAGGCATATATTTTTAAGAGTATTGGATTGTCACACAGAAGCAGAAATACAATGTTTTAGGTTATCAGTGCTGATAACAAACTATCAAAACACATAGACTCAGTTGTAATATAATCGACATTTACCTTTCAATGAGTAGGTAGGTATAGGAATAATGAAAGTATAACAAAGATAATTTTCGTAAGGAGTGCATTATCATGTTCATTGTTACATAGTACTCATATTATTTAACCAATACAAATACCTATAGCTACTTAAGAAGTTACCTATTTTCATAATCATTTCAACCTTTTTGTCCTGAATGTCACATAGATAAATAATTTATATTTGTTTTCTGGTAAATAAAATTATTTGTAATAAAACTATATAATGTCAGATACATAAATAGTTATAAACATAATAAGAAGAATATACTCAATTTCTACATTTACTCACCATAGATAAGGTTGGGATTCTTTTGTTTCAATTTTGTAATTATGCCAGCAATCTGTTTCAAAGAGTCTGGTGACCTTGAGTAACCAGTTAGGAAGTGTGTGTAATAATCAACCTCGTTTATGAGCAGACCTTCAACTAGTTCCTCCAATTCATCATTCTTTAATATATTCCCTTTGATATGTTTGTATCCTGTGTGTGTTGAGAACTGAACAGTATTTATGGAATCCACCTCAAAACCTAAAACCTGGAATATAAGTGTAAAAATTTACTTTGTACCGTATTATTAAACACATACAGGTAGTTAATTACAAGTATTCCTATTTGAGATGTTTACCATTATTTATTATAATTTATTCTACTTTGAATTTTTGCATGAAGCCCAGTTATACTACAAAATCTTGATTTATTATATCAATATTGAATACTTCATAATAAACTCCATGGAAAAGAATAGCAAGTTAAGTTTTAAATTTAAAATATAATGAAACAAAATATATACTTTACAAGTCAATCTTATTTTACATACTTACTTGAAGAGGAAATGTAGCACTTTTGTTGCCAACATAGCCATGTACTACATGACTTTGGATGGAGAGAACTGTTGGGGTGTCCAATGGCATTTTGTCTTATTTCCTGAAACATAAATTCCACATTCTAAAAAAGTCATCACCTAACGTATTGTGGAAAGTACAAGGGAACCACAAAAATAATTAATCAATTAAAAAAATTGTTTCATGTATCTTATTCTTCAGCTTGGTATTAAATAACTAATAATAGGAAATGAGAACGGAATAATTGAAGCATAATAAATGTTTAAAGTGAAATCAGTAGTTTAAGAACAAACATAATAATAATACTTATATTACCATACTATAATTTTTTTATATTATTTAATTTATTTACATCTAATGGTAAACTTAATATTTTTCAGACAAATTTGTAAATCTAAGGAGATCAATATCTCATATTAATAGAATAGAATTCTAATATTACTCAAATAATCACCATTATGGCTATTGACCTAATTAATAGTTTCATTATAAAACATTAAGGTAAATTGTACTTACAAAAACTCCAACAAAAAGTATGGCTTAAAACTCTCTTCTAATTCAGTGTAGTGAAGAAATAATTGACCCAAATGAAATTAGTCAATAACAGTATCACGTTTCTTTTAAATGATTGTAGTTAGCAAAGAGAATAGTAAATATAGGGGCAACAGCTAGCTCGATGGAACATTTTCCGTGACTGCGAGAGCGAGATTAAATGTATACAAATGATAAATATTCCGATGTGTGCCACTGTTGATTGGTTACTTACACTGCTTATCACTGCATTAAGTATAAGACGGCTAACTGTTCATATCTATCTTATTTACACCTAGTGACTGCAAAAATGCATTTAAATACCTATAGTAAAATAAAAATATAGTATTTTTACAGTTTTGTACATTAATTTGCAATATTATAATTTATGTCTTTATTTTTAAATTCAATATGGATAAACTGAGATAACTTCTTATCACAGCTGTAACCGTCAATGTCAGCTCGGACTGTCATGCAATGTGTCGTTGTCAATCTGTCAAGGGCCATTACAAAGTTAAGTCCAATTTTCATTACGTTTTATGAAATATACTGAAAGTCCCAATATCAAAAGAAATAATATATGTATATTAATATAATAATCAGTATTAACATTTATATAAATTAAATATAAGGTACTATAGTAGGTTACTACAATATTTTTATTACAATTGATGCTTGATTGAAGAATACTATTTCCATTAACTTTACAGATACACAATAAACATATTACGCCAACCCCAGATTAATGGAATAAGGAAGAAGCAGATGCCAAAGTATAGTATTACTAATATTATTGGATTAACAAAATACAATCAAATTTGTTAATTGTCCATAATATGATGATACATGTTTAAAAAATATAAACAAACATCTTACTATTAATACTTTTTATTGACTGTTACTTGGTTGTTCTTGGGTAATTTCATAGGCTTTTTCTAATGTATCTGTTATAATTTTCATGTCATTTTCAATGCTTCTGGCCCAGTTCTCCACATCACCAATTTCCTTTAATGCGCTACTAAAGTTCTCAACAAGAGCGAGCCACTGTTGTGTTTGTTTAGCAAAATTGATTGCTCCTTGGTGTAGTAATTTTGCTTCAGCATCCAATTTCTTCTGGTTCAAGTATGCTTGTGCAACTCTGAAAATGTTATTAGTATGTTACATACTCATAGAACCGCTAACTTAGAAAAGAAATAGATGATTTTCTCTAATTTTATTATGCAGTTTATTTCCTTAACAACTGCGGTTTACATAGGTACTCGCACCAACAATTCAGTTTATTTTTAACTAAATATACACTATGAATATTTTTATAACACAAACCCCATCTCTTTCCATTTCTCTACCGCACCTACTAAATATTCTCTGTTTAGAGAAACTATTTGAAAAATCATTCTAGAATACAATAAGCAAGTTTTGAACCCCTAATTAGAATATATTTATTGTATGCCTGTAACCATTTCACATGTGTATCTGAAATATTATTTCTGTACTTTAATAAATAGAAGTATCCACATACCCCACATTAAGATGATCTACAAGTGCTTGAGTTAAGTCATTAGCTGCAGCAATACATTCTTTGCGTTTCTGTTCTGAAATTATTAAATACTTGTGTATAATACAAAATGCAAACAAAGCAGTAAATAACAACAATTAGATAGCTTCCGAACTAATTTACTATTATACAGATTGATAAATTGTGCCAACTAAAATAATGCTATGCCTGTAGACAAGGTATTAATTGTTGAATGTTAAAATTAATTCTTACCTTGTACAATTCGTTTAGCAGCTTGTTTCGTTTGATGTTCTTTTATTATAGATGATAACATTCTCCTTTCTGTACAATAATTAGTAGTAATGTAATATCAGCTTTGTTTCATTAGGAATTATAGTCTTCAATAAATCAATAAATGTATGTTCGTCCAGTAAATAGGTACACTAAATGAAATATTATTTATATTTTTTACACGTACACAAATTACATAGTAATTAAGAGAGATAATGAATTAATAATGTTTACTGATTTTTCTATCACGAACTGAAAATTGACAAGTTTTGATGTCTGTTTGATCTATGAATTTCCTATATATAATAAAACACTGTGTCTGTGAATCTCTGAGTTTGACAACGTAACACTACAAAATTATACCACAGAACATACTATAGAGAACAGAGTTACTAACTCTAGAACTTGTCAATTATTAAAAATACGCGGGAAATATGAAATGATGAAAAAATTAAGTTCTTATCGTAAAGACGTCCGAAGAGAAATAGTAATATATCCTCATCTGTTGTTTGATAATAACAATCTTTATATGTTAACATTTTTTAAATTTAGAATCGTACATATTTTGTTGGACCAAATTCTGGGCCTAATATGTCAAATGATATACATTTTTACTTTTTTTTGTTGATTTATCTAGATTACTATTATGAAAAATTTATAATAATAATGAAGAATGTTAACTAATTTTGAATATTAGCTTTCCATATTCTCTGTCAAAAATTAAAAATATAAGTGAAAGAATTACTTCAATACGTCAATTAGTTTCTGATTTATAGAAGTAAACGTGCGATGCGGACTCGTGTGACGGTGTGACGTCATAGTACAACACTCGCTCTGTCCGCTCGCGCTCTCAGCACGGAGTCGTCTTAGAGACTATAAATATCTTCAAAAATTACCAAACCAAATACTAGGAAATCATGTGTTGTGCCGAAATACATAAATACAACCACCAAAGTAATAGTTATTTTTGTAATAATCACAAAAAATCCAACAAATTTGATGTCAGTCGTCGGGTCCTCTCTTCGACGAAGTAGCCACATTAAAAATGCTATAGTACGTTTACAGCCTCTGTTGGCGGCACAATCTTCGCAAGTTACGTTTAAAATGTCTTGGTTGTTTTCATTACATTCTAAACTGCAACGATAACGTGTGGTACGCGGTGTTCGCGTACGTACCACACGTTATCTGCGTGATTCTGCATTTAACCATACAAACATCACTTGCTCTTTTTACTTGTATGTAACCGATAGCATCATCACCAAAGCTGTCTCTTGCCGACTTGGAATAAGTTACAAATAAAAATAAATATTACTACGTATTTTATTAATAAGACAAATCAAAATTTAAAGAAGATTTAGTACATCTGTTCAACCCAGTATAAATCAATATATGTGTTTAGTTAAATTTACTAAGAGAGGTACCTATATTTACAGATGTACATACGTACCTATAGATATAAAACTCTAACACAGATTTGTGTTAGAGTTTTATATCTATAGGTACGTATTTGTTGTCTATAACGTAAAACTTAAAAGGTTTGGTACTTCTGCCTATTTGAGTTACAATACTTGCAATGTGACATCAGTTGGGTATTTCTTTTAACAAAACACATTAAAACAGATAAATTATTTTCTAGATAGCAAGAAAAGTTAACTTGCCTTTGCATTTTTATTCCTCGTATTTCGGCGTCAACGAAATCACTATTTGTTGATAAATAATGGGCAACCATTATTGCATCTATTTTAAGCATATTATCCGATTGCCATTTTTCGAATCCCTCATCCATTTCAATAATTAATTGAATAATAACGTAATGCTCGGATGAAAACAAAACAAAATACTGATGAATCGCTACTAAGCGGAGCGGACCGTTGCAAAATGACGTCACACGTCACGTGACTGTTAGCGGGACTCGAAATTTATCGTAAGTTTAAATGTCTATAAAATCAAAACTAATAGATATTTTTGACTAAAACAAAAACTAGTATATTTGTATACATACAAACTTTACTATATCAAACTTTCGACCGATTTGGCATACCTATTAACATTCTTCATTAATAAGTTATTCATTGACTTTAGTATACTTCTGTATCCAATTTTCCATAGAATTACGTTGTTCAAAGTTATAATGAGATAGTAATATGTAGATGTTTTAGTTGGCTTTATTTTACAATAGAAAAATATTTTATGAGATTAGGCTCGCTTTACTGCTGCCCCCCGATTCCTCCTGCCGTAGTGCCGTAGAAATGTTATTTATGTTATGTACGAAGTGTTTTTTTAATAAATAGTTTAATATTTCTAAGTGTTTGTTTATAGGATGACATTAAAAAAGACAGAAATAAATAATGTAATACTTAAAATATATCTATACCGAAATTTATTCTTACTATCAAATCATCTGACAGCTTTTCATGATTCTTTCGCATTAAATATTACATTGTAGGTAGGGTACTGGCACTAGTAGTCGGCCCCTCACCAGTACTCAGCCTTTTTCGGTTTAAAACCAATAGGAATAGCGCTATAACAGAAAATACCTAATCAAATTATTTTAAATTGCTTCTATGACTTCTCATTGGTAGAATTAAATCCAAACATAATAGCTACGTGGCTGTGAAGTACATTAAATATGAATCTATTTCGACGTCATCGGCTGACGAGGCGACATGCGGCGTGCGCGCCATTTTTTTATTAGTGAGAAGCGTTCACAGAAATGGTAATTTATTTCATCTTTTTGTTAGATTTAGGCCACATTGTATTAAAATTTACGTTAATTAATAGTTTTGGCATTGTAATCAATGAAAAGTATCATGTTTTTCTTAAGAATTATTAAATAATGAAGTGGCCGACTACTGGGTTCCATTTTTATATACATTATCTGGTACTCAACCACCCCTGGTTGACTACTGGTTTTAACGCTGTTTGTCAAAAACCCAATAGTCGGCCACTAAAATAGTTAGAGTTTGTTACATGGCTGAGTACTGGTGAAAGTAGACCCAGTATTCAACCGTCCATATTTAAATTATTTTTTATATAGTTTTTTATACAAAAAAAAAGAAAAAAAGCAGATCTAGATTCTACCAAAAGTAAAGTGAAGGAGACTACAAAGAAGAAAAATTATGAATATGATAAGGAATTGAGTGTAAAATGCACAAAGACAGGCTGTGATTTAGTGGAAATCAAAAGAAAATAAAATTAAAATTCTCAGTAATATACTTCTATCTCCTGAAACTCCTGACACAGAAACCTGTAAGGAAGATAAGCTCCTAAAAAAATTGTTAATCGGCGACTTTTACAAAGAAGAAGAAGAAGAAGAAGAAGAAGAACTTGTAATCTTTTTAAATACTGATGTTACTAAAGAAGTTTCCGACTGATTTAAATATAAGTTAGATAGGTATTTGATTGTTGTGATTGTTAGGGCACAGTTAAGTCCTTTTAGGTTCTATGACCGGACTAATTGTTTATTAATGTTCTTAATCTTTAAGCTTAAAACTATTGATCTTAAGAGAGGCTGACCACTGGTGGCAATATGGCTGAGTACTAGTTTTTGGCGGCTGAGCACTGGTGAAAAGTGCCTTATTTTGTTAAAAAGTATTTTTCACTTTATTAAAGGATAAATTTGTAATTTTTGTTGATTTCGTAACAAAGTTTAATAAATGAGTAAGTTAAATTATACAAAAGACTTTCAATTTACTATTTCTAATATTTTCTTATATAAGTTTGAACCCAGACTTACCACTAAAAGGCTGACTACTGGTGCCAGTACCCTAATATAGTTATTGAATATTGACACAGGGCGTTGAAATAATTAATATGTAATAATATTAGTATTATTATACTAACACTAGTAATCTACTCGACCTATCAATATCAGTAGTTAATTATCTTTTTTAATGACCGCAATAAATAAACTGCTTTCTTATATTTTACATACAGTCGACAGGTTACACGAGTAGATCTAAAAATTTGTAGTTTTTTTAACGACGATGGAATAATGTTTTCCCCTTCGGTTATGATAGTATTTCTAACTTGAGTATGAGTAATGGAATCTGATTGCTTTTTATAAATAGACCATCCAAAGTACTTACGTAATCCGAATTTAAACGCCTAAGTAGGTAGTTATCATTTTGTAGAAAATAGATATAAAAAAGTAAGTTACGAACTTTCACATTTAATAATATCACAGATAACATAATATTACATAGTAACATCTATATTAGGTATAATTGTTGACTTTTTTATTTCTGAAAAAATAATTCTATATTAGTAAAATAGAAACAACGAATAAAATAGCAAAAATATCTTTGCATATTTTAAAGTTATTTACTATTATATTATTTTTTTATTATATATTACTATTTTGCAGTGTGACGATAATTGCCATTATTAATTACATCTTATATTTGAATCGACTTTCTGATTGTGTGGCATTAAAAAAAGAAATCTTTATGATCGTTATCATTTACGAATTTTATATGAGTGGTATTATTACACTGCGGCACACGATTAAGTACATGATTGCATTGCATTAATTAACCACACTAATGGAGAAGGCAGTGTATCGATTTTCGCTTATCGCCTACGAAGGCGCCAGCTGCGATTCCGACACCGGAAAAAGATTTTAACCTGGTTTCAATTTACTTATTTATTTTTTCAGAGTAGCGTTGGGTGCAGGGCGCACAGCTACGCGAAATGTTCTGAATTCCTTGCGTCTTCTGGATATTTCGACACCGATTGTACAAGAAATTGTAATTTATAGTGTATTAACCTTTTATTAGATAAAATAATATTAGAATGGTAGTCTCTGAAAATAAGTAATTTTGTCGTCGTGATACACAAAGTTTTTCGAGTTACATTACCTTAGACATACATTTAATCTAACATCATATATAACATACCTATACCTACTATGTATACACTCTAGGGTGTGAAGCAAGTAGTAATAATTCTTTTGTAATGTATAAACTCAAAAAATACTTGACTTATTTTAATAATTCTCTAATCTTTATTCTTGAATAAAACAAAAACTTCTTGTATAGAATAAATAAAACAAGAATGTACATTTTCTCTAACCCATAGAGAATTTAATTCCACTCACTTTTTTTTGTATAAGTAACAAAATGTTAAAAATAGCACTGTCTCATATACACAATAAATTCGTATTTATTATAAGCTCTGATATTAATTTGTGTATTAAAGTAACCTGAATTAATAAGTAGTTATATCATCTTCTTTTCTTCCGGGCAGTCGACGTGTCCGTACTTTTCTTTAAGTTTTTCAGTGAATGCGGGATCATCCCAACCCCATAGATAGTGTGTACCATCTCCCGTTCGTTGTGAACGTTGCTTTATAATATCTGGTGATACACTTTTTAAATCGTAGGCCTGGCCGATCTAGAAATTAAATAGAGATTAAATTTTGGTTTAGTTAATTTTATCTATCCTTTTAATGATTATAATTTATTAATTCGGTGTTTTTTTACTGAATATCAAACTTAAACACTACTTTTTAAATAATATTGTATTATTTATTACAATATTATATTTTTAAAATTTGTAGAGAATATGATTTGAATACATTGACTATTTCAAAATAATACAGAAATAAAAATATAGTCATGCTGTCGAATACTTTTTATTCCAACTATTTTTTTATTTTATATAGATACTTTAATTAAACGATATTTTAAAATTTAATTATTTACTGAATATTTTATGAAGTATAACGTATACAAAAGAGAATATAGTTTAAATAGTGTTTGTAAGGACGTATATTACATTATATGGCAACCTAATGCCATTTACTACCTAAATATATGTCTCTGTCTTTTTGATTAATCTGTCACCAAAAGAGTAATAAAAATGTAATTTATAGCGGAGTACGCTTTATTTTATCCATCGCCATAAAAGTCATGATAGCAGCTGGTAGTACCTATGATATAGATATTAAAGCATTATATTTATCCAACGATGTTAGACGTTTTGTGCAAATTGCCTAACTATGTGGAAATAGGGATGATGGTAGGTTTTTAATGGATGACTTTGGAATGGTGATCCACTTGAACTAATAGTGTGTATATGTGTATAACAGTGTAGGATGAAATGAGGAGGACGAAATTGGGCCATTAGCCCTTCATAGCAAATTACCCACGATGGTTTGTTAGTTGGGGTGACCGCGTGGAGCCTTCTGAAATAATGTAATAGTAATAATAATAATAGTACTCCTGGACTATCCACACGTCATCTAGTCCCAATGTAAGCATTGCTTGTATTATGGGTACTAGATCGCTCATATATATACTTAGATATTTTTTTGTATACATGTAGGTAACATAGAATACACCCATACCGATACAAACAACCATCCACATGAATAAAATACAAATGTTTGTACTGTGCGGGAAATCGAAACCGCGATCGTCGGAAGTAAAGCAGTGTAATAAACAGCTAGACCATCGATAGACTTATAAATTCAATTATATATGTAAGTAGATTTAAGGACATGTTAAATTTAACACCTGTTTATTTAAGACTTTATAACTCAATCGCGTTAAGAACTACTACTTGTCAACGGACGTCTTGTTAGTCATGCTTTAGAGGTTCTCTTTAAATGTTGATACAACTTAACGTCAACTTTGTCTTTAATGTACTTCATGTAACTTTGTAAAAGGGGATAAGTTCGTAAAAAATATTTATTTCAGTCTTACATACCTATGTATTTCAGCCGCCAAGCACTTGGTGTAAATTAATTAATATTGTATATTGTGTTTCGGGTCAAGGGTCAAATAAGGCAGTGAAATTACAGAATATATATACATACCAGGCTTAACACTATAGTCCTCGTAAAAAAAACAACGCATAAGCGGTATGACAGATATCGTCACTAGATCGATAGATTGATATCGGCGGTGCTGTGCATGTAATATATATACATGCACATGCGATGATTACCAGTTACCATCAGGTGAGCCGATATCTTGTTTGCCACCCTAATTATATTACATAAAAAATGATAATGCAATAACTCCTTAAGGTGTGTATTTTGTCCACTTACCATAGCCATAGCATCAATGAATACGATTGTTGGTGTAAGCATGTTGTAAAAAGGGTACTCTGTGGCCCTATAATCCCATGGGAACGTGTGATGGTAGTTGTGAAATCCTTCCACGCAAATCATCCATGTGCCAATGTTGTCGCGTGGATTCAACGATCTATAACGATTGAAATGTTACTTTAAGTTATATGGATATTTATAAATTAATTTTTATACGCAATTTCGTTCTCATGATAATAATAATAACCCAGAACAATTCACACATCGTCATCCAGTCCCAAGCTAAGTACGCAGAGCTAGTGATATGGGTACTACAATACATAGATATATTTTATTCTAAAAACATACATAATATAGATATAAAACACCTAGACCAATACCATAAATCATACTCTTGCTTAGTGCGAGGGATCGAATCCGTGACCACACGAAGAAAATCGGTGTGCTAATTCGCTGGATCACTGAGATACGGCATGACTTGCACATATTGGTTGATGTTGGCAAATGTTCCTTATGTCTAACTTAGTAGGTCCTGATTCGAGGATTAGACTTGACACAGAGTGATGTGGCGTTTAGGTACGTACATTTATTATTTGTAATTATATGTTTGCGGTCGGAAACACAGTGAAATCGCAGGGTATGGAAACAGGATAACTTAGTGCTCAGAAATAGTGCAGCATGAGGAGGAGAACGGTTTTTGTTTTTAATTGGTTTAAGTTAGTTTTTGGCATTTTTTTTACCAGTCATCGTGTTTGTCTTTAGTTTATGTTACTTCAGTACATTTCTTATTAGCATGTAGGTATTTTGTGATTATAATTACAATAAGCTTGTTACACAATTCTAAATTACAATATCTGAACGTGTAATTAGATAGGTAGGTAATGAATTAAATTAAAGGCGAACTTTGACTCAAGTTGGAATTGAAAACTTTGTAACAATAATTTATATAACATTTATAATTATGTGCCTATATTTGTAAACTTTGGAAAATTTTAGAACATTATATTATTCTTCTATAATTCAGTGTGTATTTTTTATATACAATATTATATTTAACGCTCACAATGTTGATACTTGAAATGTAGTCAAATTATTTTAATTTTCATATTATATCTAAAGATGATTATTTATTCACGTAGAAATATGAATTACATGACTTCAACCTCATAATTTATTTAAAAAGTATCAGAGACCATATTATACGTGTATAGGTATGTACAAACTTAAGAATTTTACGGAAGTATCTACAAAAATAATTGATTGTGTTATTTGTAACCAACCTGAAATATTTTTTTATGGAGGAACGTAATACACATACTTGGAAATTATCCAGTAATATACTAGTACCTAAATAAGTAAATAATACATTACGTTCAACTTTAACCTCTTAGCATAAATTACTTACTTGTCATATGGCCTGTATCCAAATGTGTGAGCGAAACTGTTGATACTCCACACGACGTTGATTCCGATTGTATACCTTAGTATAGTTGGAATAAAGAATGCATTCGTCCACGTCTCACCCCAGAAGTAAACAGGAATGATAGTCGGCAGTACGAAACACAGGAAAGGCATCATTTTCATGTAGTGCCTGTCAAGGAATATTATTTTTTACAAAATGTTGGTCTAAGTTTAATAGTAAATACTATCCTCATGATGTTACTGAAGAAGTAAGTTTAAACTTACTTCTTCGGTCGGAATTAATTCCAATCGTTTCAAAAAGGTTCTAAAATCAAATTTAATAAAAATTCCAATAAACATCGGCAAACTTAACAATAATGGATTCAGTAGAAAATGGTTTAAAATCAAGCCTATTCGTAATTATTTTTTATTCTTGAATATAACTTGTATCCCAGAAAGTGGAGCCGAAGTTTTGTGATGAATGGGATTCAACAGAGTATTAGGTACGTTTTCTGTGAAAATATATTAAAGTTAATGATACACATACTGGCTAATCCTATGTACCAAGATGGTGTAGAATGCATAATGCGATACTTAAAATGCATGTGGAGAAGTTGGCAATAGAGTGGATAGGGAATACATTCTGATAGGTAAGTAATATATGCATACTTTGTGTAAAACGTAACGTGGTAGACTCGAGTACAACAGTTGAAAAATTGCTCTGATTAGCTTGCCTGACAGCTGTAATCGTATTTATTATTGTCCCAAATATTGTTTGCAAAAGTTTTGAAATGATAAATGACAACCAGTACTAAATATAGACTCCTCAACATTAGGTTGGTACGCGCCCTACTACAAGTAAATGGATTGAATATTTAAAACAAAACAATAATACTGAAATAAATGTAAATAGTGTCTTTTAGTATCATACGAAGACTTTTTTATAACTTTGTAGTATTTACATCGTAATAAACTATATTTGGTAGACAAGTAGTAAGAATGTCTTACATATATGTATGTTGAGTACCTATATAAATTTTACATACTTGATATACTCGTATATGTATAAGTAGGGCACATTATTACTGTATAAAGAAGTCTAAGTGTTACCAACCACGATATATAATTATATATTTCTAATATATAACGGAATTACATGTCCACAGTTAATGAATTAGTTCGTAGTTATTTAGCAGTATACTTTTGATTTTGTACAATAATACTATACTCTTGTTATTTTATCGCAAGTCTTGTTATTTTATGTGTGATGTGCATGTTTAATGGCTAGAAAATCTTACTCGATGTTATCGTCATGGGATTTAAACTTGTTTATTATCTCCTTGACGCCGCGCTCTCCGTAGTAATAAATAATATGAATATAGGTGTTAAGTATGACGATATTATTTGATTTATTCATTAAAACAACTAGGCAAAGATCAATAAATAGTTTCTACTTTCCAAATTAATAGATCTAATAACTATGCATATAATAAATCTAACAATATAATATTTTGGGAATCTTTTTAAAGGTTTAATCAAATACCTTAATTAATTTAAAATGCTTTATAAAATATCAGATGTATATTTTAATAGTCGATATACTGAATATATTTTATTAATATTCAATTAATAAAATGTATTCCCTTAGAATATTGATTTTTTATATCAATACACGATCGTCAATATCAATAATAAAGTAGTAATATCGAAAAACCTTTTCATTGGAATGTTATTAATAAAATTATTCATTAGTATTTACTAAAAATATTATCATGTATCATATAATATACATTAGGTAAACACACAGAATACCTAATACATATTAAGATCTGTTTTGTGATTTTATTGAAGAGTGTAGACAGCAAGTGTTTAAAAAAAGTGAAACGCAAATATTTTATACTTTGGATACATACTCATAGGATATTTTTAATTTATTCTTCCGAGCAAATCGTGGAGTACAGTTAGTCATAAATGATAAATAATCTATCCTTATAAGGTGATTACCATAGTTATGAGTAGTTAGTCATCAAAGGACAATTAAGAATGTAACTTTGGGAAATTTAAATTGTCATCATTACCTGCAGGTTTGTTTTAAAAGTAAGCGTCCGTTAAGAAAAAATATTTTTGAAAATTTTAAACACGCATTCAAAATCTCGGACGGCAATGGGAAATTACGACACTTGGGTATGACCGTTTAGTAATAGAAATTATAATAAAAAAAACCTTACTTCTTTTGAAACATAACAACAGGATCAGCGTAAAGGTCAGTGAGGTCTATTCTGCGGCCTCCTTCGATGACTTCTGGACTTTTCTTGCAGCACAGCCAGCCCATGTGGGAGAAGAACAAACCTCGCTCAGCATTATGTGGATCAGCATCTGTGTCTGCATACTTGTGGTGGGTGCGGTGATCTCTAGCCCATTCGAATATGCAATCCTGTCATTTTTATATGTGTAAATTACAACGCATTTAATTTTTCTTTATTTGTTCTTTTTTTGTAATTCGATTTTTTTTATTATAACGGCCCATCAGGTGTCAAGCGGGAACTATCATTTGTGCATATATAAATATGTATATATGTATCATTAATGAATAGCTCCACGGTGATTCGTTGCAATTTAGGAGGACTAAGATGTTATACTTCCATATCCTGTAATTTCACTGCTTTGTCTCACCTTTCAATATATATACACCGAACACATCCTGCAAAGTAGACTGCCGCCGAAATAAGTGAGATTGAAATATGTATGCAGACGACCTTTAACAAAGTCTACCTCTCTAAGTAGGTAAGTTCTCTAACTATTAGAACCTATAACGTAGTAGAAGAATTGTTGTTCGTCGGTAAACGCACTAGTTTTCCATAAATTTTAATTGCAAATTTTACTTTCATGGTCAAATGAATCTGATACTAATTTTCCCTTTACTTTGCTACGAAAATAAATAAAATATTATTAATTACTGGCCACCACAATTTAGTTTCAGTTTCGGCCATTTAGATAATTTTAGGCCAATATTACAAAACTAAAATTGTAATTTAGTAATAGATTTGATATTGAAACGGAAACTTTGAATGCTAAAAATAAATGCCTTTTACAAAGAGAATAAAAAGTATATTTTTAGAGTTGTTTAAATAACCTTCTTCCAAGAATTCACTGAAGTTTATTTTTAGCGTTGTTCAAATAAAAAGTCGAAATAACAAAGTCGAGACAAATCTTATGATAGGTACTATATTTTATTCAAACTCATCAGGCTTGTTCATTTATATGTTACCTCTGAAAAACATTACCTGCCTTACTTAGATGTCGTAAAAATAATTATTTTTCTATGAAACAAACTGAACTTACCTACTGGTAAGCAATAACCATCACCAACATATAAGATCAGCATGATGGATTCAATTGTCATTACGTGATACACCTCAAATTACTCGAGCATTGCCATTCTGTCGGTCTAAAGTGCCATGACTTCGTACACTGTAATTTCACTGCCTTATTTCTAATCAGCTTACGAAGTATTAGAGCTTATGTTTGGCGGCTGAAGTAGGTGAACAGAAGTGCGTACATGAAGTCTACATCACTATAATTAGAATAAATTATTAATATTATATAATCTGACATTGATCAAGATTGAAACCGAGGGTGAGTAGAAAAATGCGTACCATTACAGTGTCTATTTATTTCATTACCTGAAATCCCATGGTTTGCCATATCATGAGGAGAATCCTTAATGGGGTTCGAGCCTTAAAACTTCTATGTGTCCACAAACGATGAGATCCAGCGCCGATGCCTATGGCGCACATTAAATGTACTGCGAATGCTGAAATATATTATTGGTAATTATATTTTTGTATTATGAACACAACCTGCGACTAACATGAATGTGATCTGATTAAAACCTACTGAGACCGAAAGAAGAAAATGGTAGATATCACATTTATATACTCTAAATATATTTCATTTTCATGTTCTGTAATATTTTTACTAATTTAGACATTTTATTGCCAGTTTTTACTTCTTTGTTAGTTAAATGATATTATTAAGGTATTTTGGCATAATTAAGCATGGATTAACTTTTTTATATTTAGTTTCTTAAAATAACTCTAGACAGTTTGTTCATATGGTTGTTATCTAATTCGTATTTTACCTACCAGCTGTAGGAAACTATCAGTTTCTATATGTTTCAATATAGAACTCTTAGCAGTCGAGTTACAAAATACAGTCGAGTATTATTAATTAGAAAGATTTTGTGTTATTGCAAAATAGACAATACTTAATGGGCATACAGATTGAAATAATTTTCTATATTGATTGACATGTTAAAAATTTGGCACTTACCGAAAACATTAGTCTGCCATTTTGCCGATGTAAATACTAAGTACATTCCATATAAAGAAGCTAGATGCAGGTAAAGAAACCAAAAAATATTGAACCATACATATTCATGTTTCTTTGGCGTTGCTTTTTTCAATATGGTTACATCCTTATCGAGACCGAGATCAGGAGTCTGTGTGTCTGTTTCGAATAAAACTCCACTCGGTATTGGATCTACTTGAGGTGGCATAATCTGAAATAAAAGTATTGAGCACCTAATATATATTTGTGATATATAATCTAATTGTTTTATTAATAAATAAATGTGTTCGAAGATATGTATTACACCAAGTGCTAGACAAGTCATTGCGTGTTATTTCATTGCGTAATATTAAACTACATGAGCTGATACTATAACAGGTAATTAATAATAACAACCATTTGACCAATTTTATACATATTTTTATGTCAATCACTGAGCATTGAGTACTGAGTACTAGCACTATTAAACAAAAATATTTACGAGCAAAACAAATATATTACATATACTTCTACATATCTACTTAAATCTATGCCTAGGTCTAGGACGCCAGCTCTATGCATAGGATACTCTCAGATCAATACAATACAAATAGATTTAATTTAATGAGCGGGAATCGAAACCACAACATTTTATAACTAAAATCGACAAGTGCAACTAGTTTGTCAACTTTTAAACAAAACTACCGGCATTTTAATCGGTCCATAGACACATGTGAAATATATAACCCCTCTAATTCCGCCGGTGATTAAAAAGTACTGCCGTGTGTTAAACCATCACTTAACCAACATTAAAATTAGTATAAAATAATAAATAAACATACTTGTTTAACACAGCACGGTTCCCGATGGAATAATTTCATTATTCACCTCACCTCTATTTATAAGCAGTTAATTATACAAAATGAGTTACATTGCAAACAGTAATGGGTCAATGGTTTAATGAAACTAAGCTCCTGAATTTATTACACAAGTTTCTTTTGACTGATTGTATTTAAATCGTATATACATAGATACTTCATTATATTGTGGATGATACAAAGTCTGTACGTTCTTAATTTAAATGAATAATAATTAAGTAATTTTGTTTTTTAATGTCTATGGATTACATCATTATGTTTTAATCGAATATCGTGTGAAACGCAAAAAATAAAATTCTTAGATATAGGGTATGTGTATGTAGTGTTTTGGCAATATGTATGTATATGTTTTACATCTACACCTACACTTATTCTATATTCACGAAGCAGATACATACGGTTTTTTTGTTTGAATTCTGAAAGTACCAGTTGGGTTTGAAGTACATTTGATAATATAATATATAACATCACGCTTCGATTATTAGGAAACGAGCAAAAAGAAAAAAACAGAATAAACACTAAACGACTAAGAAGTATTAGGGCGGGCGGGTGCGATAGGATCTGGTAGTTCGGGGTCCTATGGCCGACATTTCTTTCAAATTAAAAGATGGAGCAAACCGTTGAACACACCTAGTTGTTTATATAGTCTGTTATGGTTGTATCCATTACATTCATACTAATAGCACAGATAAGATAATACTAGTACGTAAACTAATATTATAAATACGAAAGTGTATTTGTCTGTATGTATGTGCCTATGTGTTTGTTACCTTTTCACGACTCGGTTGCACGGATGTTGATGGAACTTAAAATGAAGATAGATTGTAGCATGAGGATATTTTTTATCAGAATTTACTTGGGCAGCTGCAGGATACGGAACGGACAAACACACTTTTTTACGTATGAGTGCTCAAATAGGTTATACTAGATTACACTAACGACAAATGAGATTATGCGAAAACGGCTGAAGTATCATCCATACGCCTTCTTTGTATCTGTACGGAGAATACACGAGGGAATGAATGGAATATCTTCCGGTTAACAACTGGGGCGCAAAACGGTGATTTTATTTCGAAGAGCTCGCATCGGGACCGTTGGATTTCCACTTGGATGATAATCCATATTTCGATGATAATGCTTCAGCTGAGCGCATCTTTGGATAAGTAGGTAGATTTATATTTTTCTGCAAATGACATTATAGGACGTTTTAGATTAGAACAAATACCTATATATTATGTTGCGAACCTTAGTACGGACCTTATAAGCATTATTAAAAAATTGTTAAAAGGCGGACAACAGACATGTATTTTTTTATTATTTCCTGTGTGGTATCGCTGAAACAGACAATTTCTCTAGTAACAATGAACGTATTTCTTATTGTTTTATACAGGAATAAGAGCAATGTTATCTCATAAAAAGAATAATCGAAATGAATTAAATTTTGATGTCGATGCCCTAATTCAAGAAAGAGTTGAATAATTTGCAGTATATAATTTTCAATTGGAAATTAAATGATTCAATAAGACTAAGATAAAAAAGATTCAGTCCTAAGATAAAAAGATTTTTTCTAGCACGTCTTGACTCTAATCTTAATATCGAATTTTCATGGCAAAACTATCAATATAAAAGTAATCACATTTTTAACCATTCTCTTTAAAGGCAATCACGAGTAAACCGAATACATTACTTGCAATAGTTTATATAACTACCACAAATTTAAGTAATATCATCTAAAGTCGCAATTAATGTACGAAATATATAAATTGCTGTAGTCGGTACGTACTCAAATTTATAATAATCTGCCATCCTAATAATACCAAAAAATTCAAGCATCCCTATGGTAAGTAGGGCGCTGTTGGAAGGCAATTTGCCCGGAATTGTACCGTCCGATTACCCGTTTTGTGGTTTAAATGGCTTCCTATCTTTAAAAACGATTTGATTGTGTGGTCACGAATTGAATTGGGCGTACGGTGAGACCACCATTTTGATTGAATTGTGCGGATTAAAAGTGGGCTAGTTTTATGCTATATTATCATTCTGTTTGTCAGAAGTAGAATGCTGTTGTGATGGGCATATATAGACGTATATTATTTAGGGTCACTGCAATAAAGTAACTATTGAGAAATTGAAAATTTAAATACAAAGGTACAGTAAAAAGTACCAAAATGTCTAGTACTATCATTCGCACTGCCCGAGTTAAATTATATTTAAGTACTTATATATTTAATAAAACACTGATGGATTTCCATATCAATCAACTGTATATACCCATAATGGAGTGGCACGATTAGGTTGAATACTCATAAAATGCCCTATCAGCTCTCTCAACTCTTCCTTGAAATTGGGATGTCATAAGGATTTCTAGCGAGCACATTTGAAACGAACGTAGGTGGAGAAACGAGGAGAATCTTTTAGAGTTTCACTAGGATTGTTAATGGCATTTACCATTATCAGAGAGTTAATAAATATTACATTTAAACATAAATTATAAATAAATTTTGCTTAAATAGCGCTTTCCAATTCACTATAAGATTGTTGAATTCAATATCAATTCAGACATTGTCACGGTATACTATAATATTAAATATTGAATTCGAGAAGCTTCGTGTAATTTAGATAGGTATTCATAGTGCACTTTGTGCAATGGCGCACAACAAAGGACCACCAACAGCATCACAGATTCAATTTAGAGTAGGAACAAACCGGGCGGCTATTGCGAATAGTTCCTTAACTATTAACTTCGAGTGCGCTCGATTTTCAAAGCGATTTATGTAAGCGGATTGTGGTATATATTGATGGTAAGTCTACTAATAGACGTTTAATCAAAGTGATCATATTATCTATGAAAAGTCTCTACTCAATTTTTGTGCAATTTTATAATAGGTTGTAATGAGTGTTGTATTTAATTATTATTTAATTAAAATTTTTGATGTAAAACCATTTATTACGGTGTTAAATATTGAAAACTGTACTAGTCTTTTTTCTAGTCTTAGTCTCAATTTATGCATTTAATCGGTACAAAATAAATTCGATATTTTACAATCAGCTATTGTATTTATAAGTTCTGCGACGGTGCATTTGTTGATTCAACTAAAACTGAATAAATTGCAATATTAAACATATTACATAAAAGTTTCTATGTAGCGATATGTATTAAACTTTGACTTTATTTTATTCAGAAGTATATTTAATATGTTTAAAGAAGGGAACTAAAATATAAATTAATTTAGTTTAGTAGATTAGCCATTTCCTCTTACAGCGGATTGTATAGTATTTAAACATCAGGCAACGTACTTTCTAGACAGGTAACGAGAATGTAAATTTAGTTAATTGCTAAAACAGCGTACTCTTTCTCTTACGCGTAAGTCCTGAAACATTCGTTATGTTGCAGCAAGAGCTTAAAGTTTTCACAATCAGATTATCCCCAGCTTTGGACTTGCTAATGATTTTAGTTCCCCCGCAGAATAGTTCAAGCAAAATATACTAAGGCGCTTTACTTTGCTGTACATCATAATGGAATTATAATTGCGTTAAGTTAATAGAAATAACAAGCGATCATAAAAGAATATTTTCACGGGTATTTTGTGTACCTAAACAACTAGGTTGTCGGAAATAATATAACGCTCTATTTGACGAGATGAAGATAAATTAGTTGTATACAATAATCTTGACGGATGAGGTCCGGTGATTTCACAACAAAGGCCTTTTTAAAATCCCATCAGTAGTCTGCCCTATCTCAAATTCCTTGTTACTACAGTGTATTTCGTACATTGGTTCCGAACTTTTTAAAACAAATTTACATATTTTTGGGCTTTTGTATTTGCTATCTGAATAGCATCTATTATAGTCGCAGTTGCAGCGATTATGCAAAAATTGATGAATCTACTTACCGAAGCATTCGCTGTAGATATTTTTAATTGTTGTTGGAGTAAAATCTTTTAATCTAATATATGTATACAAATATTATATAAAGTAAATAATACATTATAATATAGATAGATTTTTTTTTCTAAAGTAAACTGAATTTTACTTATTCGTAACAACATATACGAGTAAAATTGATACAATTGAAAGAAGCCCACAACTTATAATTTAACTATAGGCTGAATAGCTTAATTTTATACTTCAATAAAAAGTACTTAAACACTTAAACTGTAGATATTAAAACTGATTTTCTTGAACGTGACTTTATTGAAGTACCTACTTTATTGGACGCACGGTCAAGCAATTAAGTGAGATACATGGTGGCGAAATTGGACTTTAATCATCTATTGAGAGCATTTCACGTACAAAACTCAGGAAAGAGGCGGTCGGCCTTCTTTCCTGAGTCCGAAATTACATCGCTTCTTTCCCACTAGAATTGAAAGGGTCTGGAAAGTATAAAGGAATCACATTGTACTATCGCTTAGAAGTTATTATATTTACTGTTATCATTGAATATGTGAGTGACAGCAATGATGGCTGTATCGTTTATCATATTCTGCTTGTAGGACTGTTCTACTCTGATCAAGCTATTGATTAGGTAGTATTCACACAAATATTGAGTCAAAAAGGTAATATTATACAACATTTGTTTAAAAGGGAAGTGGTAAGTTTTATCTTAAACATTTAATGGATGGTTACTCAGTGGTTACATATATATATATATAACTATTACGGTTCTCGTATTAGTGTTATCAATGAAAAAAATATAAACTTATCTATTTTTTACTCATTTTTGTTGACGTACTGGCAGCTGGTTTTATACACATATTTATTATACAAAGAATAGAATGATTTATTAAAAAATCATAAAATTTTCTATCCTCTTAAAATATTTGACAAACATTTGGTAAGATATGGCATTTCTAACCACATGTTATTTGTAAAATCGTTTATTGAAACTTATGTTCATGTAAATTATTTATAAAAATATAAAGCATAAACTTATATGTATTTTATTGTTTTATATACAACATTGAACAGTCGTATTAGTAACAATTGTTAAGACATCACCATAGATATTTATTTATATCTTTTTTAATCCTATTACAACATAGAAAATCCTGTCTATCCTCAGAGA